TAAACATTTAAAAAGCAATGTGGTGACTGGGTTAATCAATAATTCAATAACATACATAAATCTTTAGTACAAATCTCAGGTTACAACATCAGATATTTCCTCTCTTTTTCCCTTAATATCTACTGTCTCATATTAGGCTAGTATAGTTCTTATAATTATCAACTAAGTAAAACCATCTTTGTTACATTTATCAATAATTTTTAGCTTATACATATCTTAATTGTGTTTGCATTCAATCCTTATATACAATCAATGTCCTGTTATTACTTTTTTCCCAAGCTTTAATTTCCCATCAATATTCAAATTAACATTTGGTATTTATAATTTCCAAGCTTTAGGTAACCAAAGTTTCCCTTATCTCAATTTCTTCCTTTTTCATAACAAAATCTAATATTCTAAATGCACATCTTATCTATTTGCATAGTCTTATATTGTTTTCTAAAAGTTATCTATTTTCCACCATATTAAACCAAAAGTCTATTAGTCATTACACATCTTACCTATTCGATTATATTACTTTATTTTCTAAAAATTATCTATTTTCCACCATATTCAATCCTCTAATATGAAATCCCCTCTAATAAATCAAAACCCTAGTTTTCTTCAGCCTTACTCTGGCTTTCTTCCTTTGCCAACTGACTTTCCATGAATCATCAAATAGTTCTCCCTCTGTTATAATATATATATTATATAACTATATATCTATATATCTATGTATGTATGTATGTATGTGGAAATATATTTATATTTCATATATATATATATATGTTAGTCAAATAGTAATGATCACCAAGAGAGTATCTATAAAAATAGAATTTTAATCCACCGAGCTTTCGTCAAACACAATTGACATCGTCAGGGTTAAAAGGTAAGCGCCGGGGGAGAGTCTTATATACAGCTGTTTAGTGTCTGCTTCCGGCTCCTGGAGCGTGTCATAGGCCCCAGCTGATCGGGTTGGATCTCCAGCCTACATCCCACATTACTAGTCTGCATTCTATCATAAGTTGTTTCAGAGTTGGGAGTCCAGATCTTTTTGCCTTCCTTGCTCATAGCCTCCCCCCCACCACCATCCCTGACGATGTCAATTGTGTTTGACGAAAGCTCGGTGGATTAAAATTCTATTTTTATAGATACTCTCTTGGTGATCATTACTATTTGACTAACATGAATATTCCCAAGAGTCATGTTTTTGTTTTTATTTCCAATCATATATATATATATATATATATATATATATATATATATATGTGTGTGTGTGTGTGTGTGTGTGTGTGTGTGTGTGTGTGTGTGTGTGTGTGTGTCTTTGGTTATTCGGGTTTTCTCCCACGTAAAATTGGAAGTGTCTTGGCGACGTTTCGACGAAGTCTCATTCGTCATCTTCAGGCTGGTGCTTTCGGCTTCGTGCTTCTAGGAGCAATGTGTGATTGTAACTGTTTCCTCCTTTTAACTGCCAGTGGGGGTATGAACTGATTGGATGAGAGCTTGGCTGTGTTCTAATTGGATGGAGGTGTGTTCTGATTGGTTAGGAGCTTGGCTGTGCTCTGATTGGCTGGGGGGTTGGTTGTGCCCTGATTGGCTGGGGGGTTGGCTGTGCTCTGATTGGCTGGGGGAGTGTTCTGTTTCGGTGGGGGCTTTGTTGTACTCAGGTTAGTCTGAGTTGCAGGGGGGTTTAAAATGGTGAGCTGCATTGCTATTTTTTGGCTTCACGTTCGTGGTCGTGCCTCATCTTCATGGTGGGTGTCAGTTTGCTTCATGTATGGATTGGAGGGGTTTAAAGTGGTTAATGATGCACTAAAACCCAAGACAGAGAACAAGAAAATGGCAAAGCCCTCCTCCCTTACATAAAAAGCACCACAGACAGAATCAGTAAGATCCTCCACAAACACAACATTAAGACAGCATTCTGCCCAAACAGAAAAATATCCACCATCCTAAGAAACCCCAAAGATAAAATTGAATTAGAAAATCAAGGAGTATACGAAATCCCATGCACCACTTGTCCCACCACATACATCGACAAACCAACAGAAGAATAAGTGCACGCATTGAAGAACATAAGAACTCAATCAAAAAAGAGGAACCAACTTCTTCCCTGGTCCAACACCTTAAAATCACAGGACATGAAATTGACTTTAAAAAGACCAGAACTATCGCCAAAACGGAACATTTTAATAACAGAATAATCAGAGAAGCCATCGAGATAGAAAAAGGCCCACACAGCATGAACAAACGAGATGATACCTCCCGCCTACCAGCCATTTGGAAACCCGCCCTTATTGACAAATGACTCCCTAACACAAAAAATGACACCAGACCCACACTCACAAAAACCAACAGGATGTCACCACCATACATCCATGCAAAAAGCAAACCCAAAGCCACACCGATGTTGAAGCATGACCACAAACCAGAAGCCAGACCACAGCTGCATCATTAACCACTTTAAACCCCTCCAATCCAAACGATCTCTCAGCCCTGAAGATGTTGGGGAGTTTTCCCAACGAAAGCTTGGCAACCTTTTAATATAGTAAAATACTTTAATTAAAGTATTTTAACTTTAAACTCTCCTGGTGAACGCGCTTTATTCATTCTATTTATAATTATGCCCGGGAGTCGCATTTTCACCATCATTATTGAATATATATATATATATATATATATATATATATATATATATATGTAGGTCTTTGGTTGTTTGGGTTTTCTCCCGCGTAAAATTGGAAGTGTCTTGGCGATGTTTCGACGAAGTCCCATTCGTCATCTTCAGGCTGGTGTTTTCAGCTTCGTGCTTCGAGCAGCATGAAGCTGAAAGCACCAGCCTGAAGATGACGAATGGGACTTCGTCGAAACGTCGCCAAGACACTTCCAATTTTACGCGGGAGAAAACCCAAACAACCAAAGACCTACATACAAACACCCGCGAAAACGTCAGAAAACAAATATATATATATATATATATATATATATATATATATATATATATATATATATATGAGGAAACATGGCTAGATGACTGTAGTGCCTGGATTAAAGACAGACAGGTGAAACCAGATAAACTATTTCTTTGCTAGAGAATAATCAGACAGACATTTATCATTTTTTAAACCTGAGACTGGAGGGTAAAATGCCAACCAAGTTTATAAGCTCTTTCTTTGAACTTAGAGTGATAAAAATAATTAGACACCTGGATGGGATATTTGTATATTAGAAAGATATCATATTGTGTAAAAATTTTCTTACCTAGAATTCTTTTGAGAACCACACAAGTCTAGATGGCAAAATGTGTAATGTACGATAAAGTAAACTATGTTTGCCAAGAGAACATAGCAAGAGACTCACTCATAAAAGAATGTAGAAATGATCAACTGAAAAGTGAAAAAAACTGACTAATAATTAAAATGATTATTTCTTTATTTCTAATGATGAGCTGTAATAATAATAGTAGTAAAGTTGGAAGGGATCTTGGAGGTCATCTAGTCCAACCCCCTGCTCAGGCAGGAAACCCTACACCATTTCGGACAAATGGCTGTCCAGTCTCTTCTTAAAAACTTCCAGTGTTGGAGCATTTACTGCTTCTGGAGGCAGGCTGTTCCACTGATTAATTGTTCTCACTGTCAGGAAGTTTCTCCTTAGTTCTAGGTTGCTTCTCTCCTTGATTAGTTTCCACCCGTTGCTTCTTGTCCTGCCTTCAGGTGCTTTGGAAAATAGCTTGATTCCCTCTTCTTTATGGCAGCCCCTGAGATATTGGAATACTGCTATCATGTCCCCCCTTGTCCTTCTCTTCGTTAAACTAGACATACCCAATTTTAGCAACCGTTCCTTATATGTTTTAGCCTCCAGTCCCCTAATCATCTTTGTTGCTCTTCTCTGTACTCTTTCTAGAGTCTCAACATCTTTTTTACATCGTGGTGACCAAAACTGGATGCAGTATTCCAAGTGTGGCCTTACCAAGGCATTGAAGAGTGGTATTAATACTTCACGTGATCTTGATTCTATCCCTCTGTTAATGCAGCCTAGCACTGTGTTGGCCTTTTTGGCAGCTGCAGCACACTGCTGGCTCATATTTAGGTGATTGTCTACTAGGACTCCGAGGTCCCTCTCACAGTTACTACTATTGAGCATGGTGCCACCTATGCTGTACTTTTGCATTTGGTTTTTCTTGCCTAAATGTAGAACCTTGCTTTTTTCACCATTGAATTTCATTTTGTTAGTGCCCAGTGTTCAAGTCTGTCCAGATCCTTCTGTATCTTAAGCTTGTCTTCTGGAGTGTTGGCTATTCCTGCCAGCTTAGTGTTGTCTGCAAATTTGATGAGTTCCCCATCTATCCCTGTGGTGGTAGTGCAGTGGTTAGAATGCAGTACTGCAGGCTAATTCTGCTGACTGCCGACTGCCAACAGTTTGGCAGTTTGAGTTTCACCATCTCATGGTTGATTCAGTCTTCCATCTTTCTGAGGTCTATAAAATGAGGATCCAGATTATTGGAGGCAGTATGCTGACTCTGTAAACCACTTAGAGAAGGCTGTAAAGCACCGTGAAGTGGTATATAAGTCCTATTGCCAAGTGCTATAAAAAAAAACTGGAATCTCTATGGTGTTTCCTGTCACTGCTAGATCCTGAGCATGTGATCCTTTGATATTTTGTGTAGCTGCTTCCCTTCTTCAAATGGGCTTGCTATGTGCTTGACCATAGGCCTTTTATGCTAGCATATTGGTAGTTGGTGGCTTAACATATTTTGTTGCTGAATTAATAATGTATAAGCATGCATCAAGGAATGGATGTATATAATGTATAAACATGCATCAATAAAACTGCTACTCAAAATGGCTGACACTTAAGAAAATACTTTACATGGGATATTCCATGCATTCAACTGAATTTCATGTAAAGAGAATGTGATACCAACTAAATCCAAAAGAATTTAGCATTATTTTTTAATAATGTTGTATTTTTCATTTGAAAAAGTGGACTGATATTTGTCCTTATTTATTTGAAATATCTAGGTTGGAATCAGTACTGGCCCTGATGGTGCTGGGAGAAAGTGCCAAATTAAACATGTCATGTCTGAAAGTTTTAATGGACCTAGTAAAATATTTTATTTCAAGCTCTGTGCCTCTTCAAAAACAGGTAAGAGCCAAGTTAATCTTGGTGTAGAAAGGACTTGTGTTTATCATTGTGGTGTCCCAGATGAGTTCCTCCAAGATTTGCACTGATTCTGCTGCAGCCAATGCTCTGTAATGTTTCTAAATATGTACTTTAGAATTGTAGTCTTTTTACACATTTTGGTTCCTATTTGATTTTGTTGTACAGGAAAAGAATAACAAGAAAAAGAGGTCATGTTGGCACTGGCAAGTAGGATACATATATACAAATATCCTGAGAGAAATCTGTTTGCATGGCATTAATGCAGATTTACAAAAAACTGCTTTTCTTGGATTCTGTGACTGTGGAAAGGAATATGATAATGACAAAGAATTAAGAGGAGCAAATTTTCCTGATCTTTTGAACTTCTGCCTTCCATCTGATGACTGTAAGTACCAAAGTAGTAATTTTCTCCTGCATTATGTATGTGTGTGGTTCTACAGTGACCATACTATGGCTCATATGCATAGATTCAGTGGTCTACGTGGCCAATTCGCTTATGCCAACTGGTTGCTAGTTTTTTCTAAGTTGCATGTCTTCTTTGTAATTCTGCATTATATATGTTTATGTGTAACAATTATTATAAAACATACCACTGAAGATTTGAGAGGGGTCCAACAGAAGATCATGGATTGGGGTAAATCCGATGCTCTTGCTGCCTAATTTAGATAATACTGTTTTCTTTATATTGCAGTTCTGAACTTGTCACTTCAGTTGTTTTTACAAGGCACATTTCTCCTCACATAGCTCTTGATAACATCAACATATGCTGTTCTCTAAAATGAATATTAAAATCCTAAACTTACACATATTTCAGTTCAAAGGAATATTCAAATTACCATTCATGCTTCTTTTTATTTTTTTTTTATTAAAAGTTTTATAAATTTTACAAAAAAGAAAAAAGAATACAAAACAAGAGACAACATATACAAAAAATAAAACTAAACAATACATATATATATAAAAAAAAAACCCCCCCACCCCTCCCAAACCCCCCCCTCCCTTCCCCCCCCCCGAGCTTCCCAGAGCAGAATATAGGCTTAAAAAGTAAAAAAAAAAAATAAAAATAAAAATTAAATTAAAAACTTTATATTTATATATATAAAAAGATTATCTATAATATATATAAAAATAAAACTTATGAAAAAACTATATAATATTTTTGTATACCCAATCTAAATTGTATAAATTTTATCCATTTATCCCAAACAGCAAAAAACTTCTCTTGCGTTTGTTGCTTTAAGAAAGCCGAGATCTTTGCCATTTCCGCCAGATAAGCTACTTTAAGAAACCATTCCTGCAATGTAGGCAAGGATTCCTTCTTCCAATATTGTCCTACTAACAGCCTAGCGGCTGTGATCAAATTTAACATCAGTACAACCTCCTTTGTATCACAATCTGTAACAATACCTAACAAAAATAGTTGCGGAGTAAATTTTACCCTCCTTCTAAAAATTCTCTGGATATTCCACCATACTTTGATATTCAAATTACCATTCATGCTTCTTTTTATAAGCGCATGACAACTTGTAATTAATCAGCCACTTCATACTCTGCTTTTGAGAATAATTTCAGAAGCTGAGATGTCATCTTGATGAAATTCACATTGATATTACATTCTAAGAACAACTAAATCAAAGACATTACAAATTTAAACAGGTAACAATAAGGTTCACACACCTTCATAATCAGTTTAGGCCAGTGGTTCTCAACCTTTTTAATGCTGCGACCCGAACGGTCGTAAGTCGAGGACTACCCAACTGATCGTAAGTCAAGGACTACCCAACCGGTCGTACGTTGAGGACTACCCAACCAGTCGTAAGTCGAGGACTTTCCTTGCCCAGGAGCACCGCACATGTGTGGTGCTGCCCCCTGCGCCAGCCGAGGCGTAGCTGATAAGGGGCAGCTACGGCGCAGGGAGACCACCGGCTGGGCCACCAGCTGGCCCAGCCCAAGGGAGGTAAGGCACCCGCGCCAGCAACCCTCCCTAAGCCCGCCGGCCTCCCACCCCTGGCCCTCTTTTACTTATATTTTTAGTAGTTGCTCAGCAGGGAGGGGTGGAAGCTTCCAGACAGCTCACCTTCGCTGCAGACAACTTGCAGCACCGTTTGCAGACTGGGGCTTTTGGCGGGCTCATCAGGGCAGAGATAGCCTGGACAATTCCTATTGACTTTTGAAAGCCAATAGAATTAGACTCTATTCAAGAGAGTCTATTCTATTGGCTTTCAAAAGCCAATAGAATAAAAGGGAGTAGCACAGCTAAGGAAAAGGGGGAAAAAATGGTGGACTGTGTTGTTTGGCGACCCCCGTGAAATGGTTGTTTGACCCCAAATGGGGTCACGACCCACAGGTTGAGAACCGCTGGTTTAGGCAATACTAGATTTTATTATACAAAGTTAAAATGAACTTAAAAATAAATTAAGAGAATTCCAGTTTGCCCTAATGTGAGTATGAGCCACCAACCACTTCTTAAAACTAGGAATGTCGTCTTCTACTCCAGTTCACTAGAAAAGCAATTTCCACCTGTTTTTTTCCACTCTGCTTCAAAAGTAGCATTTTCTGACTTGTATATCATAAGCAGCCTTGTCCAGTTCACGTCTTGTGCTTCATTCCATTGGAGAAAGAGGCTTTCTGCCTTCAGTGCCTTCTCCTCTTCAGCCCTTGTCCTACGTGGAAATTGTTTTTACAAGTTCACCACTGGGATGTGGTAAAACTGTTCACTGATGGAACAGAGAAATGGTAGACTTGACTTTTTCTTTTTACCAGGGATTTCTACTTTTCCCTTTTACTGCAAATGCAAGTGGAAATAAATAAGTAATTGAAAAAAAAAATAAAACTAGTATTTTACCTACCACTTTTTGTCATTTTGTCTTTAATAAAGAATATGAAAGCTCAAGTTCATAAAAGAAATCTAGGGTGCTAATAGAAACATGGCCATGGCAGAACCGTGAAAACTTCTCATAAAGTTAAAATTACCTATGCCATATGTAGGCTAAGATCTAGAGGAGGGGTCCCCAAACCCCAGTCCATGGACTGGTACCAGGCCATGGCATGCCAGCAACCGGTCTGCACAAACAAGCAAAGCCCCATCCGCGAGATGCAGGCAGCGCACAAAACCATGCACCCTCCAGTCCACAGAAAAACCTCTCTACACGGAACCGGTCCCTGATGCCCAAAAGGTTGGGGACCTCTGATCTAGAGGATGGACATTGTAATGAACCTGATAAAAAGAACCTGATAAATGTTAAGATTAGGTCTTTGTAAAAAGAAATGTTTTCTGTTTTAAATGTATTTGGTGCATTTTTTTCTCCTAGCACTGGTGTTTGAGATAATGAGAGAGGTAAAACACCTGCAGAATTGCTAAATGCATTCTTTTTTCTCAGTGGTTACTCAATTAGCTATGAGCAGAGGGAAATTAGAATATGAAAAGAATCATTTTTCTTTTCAGCTTGCCTGAATATCTAATGAGTCTTTTTTTCTTCTATTCTTTTTAAAGAGCTTTTGTTGCAGAACTTTTAATACCACCTTCTACCCTCTTGCTGCGTTGTCAGGGACATATTTCTTTCAATATATTTAAAGTAACAGTTTTGATAGCTGCCATGAGGTCATGCAAAGCAGAACTGAAGACAGCCTTGTGATGCTGTTGGGAACTTGGATGAATAGTTTTGTAACAGATTTCTTTCAAAATGTCTAGACATGTTTATTAGATTATAGTTCACTTTTTATGACAGTCCTAGCATACCACCATCTGCTTGCCTTTGTGTATCTCTCTGTGTGTGCAATAACAATGTGACACTTGGATATTCTAGGTTCTCTTTTCTCTCTTTTAAAAAATCTGTAATAAATTATCAGTGCTTAACTCAATTGGAAAAGAACAAAATGGTTTAATTGTGAGTAGTAAAGTATGGTTGGCTGGATTGGTAAGGTCTACAATTTATATTGTTAATTTCAAGGTGAATTGAGCTAACGCAATTGTTTTGCATGCTGTAACTTAGCTTTCATAAAATAAAGACTTAAGAGAGAAAATAAATTGGGGATGTCTATATAAGGAGATTCCCAGAGATTATCATAGCTTAGATATAAATCTTTACTCTGCAACTTGCGTAAAAGGAAAAGCAACTGGATCCAGATTGGATTTTGGAGGGAGATTAGAGTAGATGGGAATAGCTTCTGAAGACAGAAATTCATGTTGACCAATCAGTATCTGATGGTTTGATTGGGTGCCTGCCAATTGTTTTCTATAGTATCATTTTTTTTATCATGTTTTGGGCTGTATACCAAACTTATGCATTACCATTTGTCGACTTATTTGTTGATTTATTTATTTATCAACTTGTTTTGTTGATAAATAAAAAAAGTAGCTCTAGGTAGTGTTAGAAGTAAAGTCTTCATCCTGGTTCATCCAAGCCGGGAATAAATAAGCAAACATGGAGACTGCTTTGGGAAGAAGGTTACAGTTTATTGCAGAAAGATGGTTCTTCAGGAAAGTGCAGAGGAGAGAAGGAGGAGAGGGAGAGAAGAAGAGAGAGATTGAGCACATGGGCAGTAGGTTTTATACCCCCCCCTAGCCTTTTGTTTGGAATAGTTTCCTGTTCTTGTGGCATGAACCTTGAGGCTGTTTCTGAGTGTTTGTCTAGGCCTTGATATCTGTGGTTTAATTCTATTATCATATCCTTCTTCCCAGGTGATGGGGCTGATTCCTAGAGTTTGGGTGGGGTATGCAGATCTTCTCTTTTGTCTTCTTGATTGCTCTGACTCCAACTTTCTGATGGTTTTACATTTGCATTTGTATGGGCCTAGCTCTTGCTTGGGGCAGAGAGATAGATTTAGGGCCAGGTTTGGTTTTAAAAAGTCCTTTTGAGGAAAAATATATTTTTCTGCCCTTTTTAATATTTCTTCTCTGGGCTAACTTTCATCAGTAGCTTATAGAATAGGATTAAAATATCAAATAAAAATAACACAATCAGCAAAATAGTACATGGCACGGAACAGGGCAGATATCTAATGCAAACATGTTCTTCGCCCTCTACTGCAGGACACTTTCCTATCCAAGGGCAGTGTTGAAAAACTAGCTCATTATATTTAATTTCTATGTTTTACCAAGATATGAATATAAGGATAGCCTTGCTGCATCATACCATAGCCCATCTTCATCCAGTTGCTTGAAGAGGATACAGAGAATGTGTCTCCATTAACACATAGGGAAGGAACAAGAACTAATCCAAACACATTCAGTATTCTTCTGCCAAGGAGAGCAACTTTTATTGTTACAGTTCAAATAAAAGAATATGTACTTCTCTTTTCAGTATATTGTGGTCTTAGCTTAACAATCTTACACAATTAATTTACAGAGTTTCCTGCAGTTTATTAACTCTTTTAGTAACTCCC